ACTGATGGTTGGCCTCCCTGACTTCTTTGCTATGTTGCTTTGTTGCTTCTCCCTAGCAAAGCAGCTTCCTCATTAACATTTGCAAGCCAAGGAGATGACAAAAAGCCTGGCATGATGGCTACGGTAATTCCAGATCTCAGATCCAAGTCCATCTTGGACAGAAAGTTAGCAAGATTCCATTTAACAAAAAAGCCGGGGATGGTGGTTCACACCTGAAATCCCAGCTAAGCAGGGGATGGAGTTAGGAGGATCGTGGTCCAAGGCCAGCCCAGGCAGAAGTGAGAGATCCTCTGCAAAAAATAACTAAATTAAAAATGGCTGGGGCGTGGCTCCAGCAGTAGAGCACTCAGGCCCTGTGTTCAAACCCCAGGACTGAACAACAACAAAAATAATTTTTAAAAGGCAGTAGGAAAGAGCCAGCACAAATCAAGTCACAATCTTTGTAACCTAATCACAGAGTGACATCCCACCACTTTCGCCGCCTTTTACAGGTAGGAGCTGGCCACGCAGTATGGGGTTACAGGAGGCGGGGCTCACTGGGGCCATTTTATAAGTCTGACTACCATAGCAACTACCAGTCTGGAGCCCAGCCATCAGGGCCCGGCCTGTGTGGGAGCTGGCGTAGGGCCCTGCAGCGAAGGCCTTGATAACAACAGGGAACTGGGACCTTCTCCCGGGAGAAGGGAAGGGCTTGCTGCTAACTTCTCAGGAAACATCTACCTGACCACTTTGGGACAACCGACAGGCCTCCAGAGGAGGTGGAGGTGTGCCGCGTGACCCCAGAGTAGGCACTCTTGAGGGGCAGAGTGGGGTTTGCCAGGGTCCTCACCTCATCCCCCACCACCAGGCGGCTCTCCGTCCTGCTGAGCAGGCAGCAGGAGCTGCCCCCGCCATTCCCTGGGCCGGCTCTGCTTGCTCATCGATGTCCACGCGAGGCCCAGAGGCTCTGAAGCCGGACCCGCCTGGCGCCAGCCTGCACGTCCCTGGCTGAAGTCGTGGCCGATGGCCACAGCAGTGGTGCCACCCCACAGAGGGGCCGCCCCTGGCCGGGAGTCCTTCTCTGTGGTCAAAGCTGCATTCACTTCCCTCACTGCCTCTCTGGGCAGCAGCCACACTGCTCCCTGCACCGGTCCGGACCTCCCGTCCGCTTCCTCCCCCCGCTGCAGGAGCAGACCCTGGGGGGGCCAGGCCGGCCGGCGCCCGTCCTGCAGGGCGTCTCCCTGCGGGACCCAGGGGTGTGACACCCGGGCCGCTCAGCCCGGAGGAACTAGTCTCTCAGGGCGCCACCGACCACGCGGGTCTCTGTGGCCCGCGTGGGGGTCACTCATTCGTCAACTCCTTGCAGGGAGCCCTCCCACCCCCAAGCACAGCGTGGGCACTCGGGGTGACTCCAGGCCTCGGGTGGGAGCGGCCTTCCACGTGGGGCCTTTCTTGCCTCCCGCCTCTTCCCACTCGCTCTCCGCCCTCTTCTTCGCCCCTCCTGTTCTCCCTAAACCGCTGTCTTCATCCAATCCGCCCACCTCCCGACATCCTTCTTTCCCCGCTCCCTTCTCTTCCTCTAATCGCTGCACCCCGCCCCTTAAACTCGCCCCTTTGCCCATAGCCCCGCCCCTCACCATGTCGCCCCGCCTCCTACCTGATTGCCCGCTCGTGTCCCCGCCTCCTCCCGCTCAGCCCCGCCCCTTCCCGTTTCGCTCCGCCCTTTTCTCGTCCCGCCCCCTCCCCACCAAGCTACTTGTTTTTGCTCTAGAGACGCGCAGTTACCTCAGCGGGGCGGTGGCTCTGGTGGACGGACTGGCATCTAAAGCCAGCCATTGGCGGAGACCGCCGCTTCGGGCTGTCAATCCCTCCGGCCCAACGTGGTCCCGCCCCCGTCCGTGCAGCGTCGCGGGACGCAGGGCGCCGCGGGGGCTGCCGGGACGGGGCCAAGATGGCTGGAAGCTTGGGTTCCGCTTCTGCCTGCAACGCCGAGTCCCATTCATTGCCCCTTTGCTGAGCGGCGCCGCGTCGCGTTAGTAGGCTCGAGGCCTCTGTGGGCTGCCGCGAGGGACGGGGAGGGGGGTGGGCGTCATGGCGACCCTGGAAAAGCTGATGAAGGCCTTCGAGTCCCTTAAGTCGTTCCAGCAGCAGCAGCAGCAGCAGCAGCAGCAGCAGCCGCCGGCGCCGCCGCCGCCGCCGTTGCCGCCTCAGCCCCCTCAGCCTCCGCCGCAGGCACAGCCGCCGCCGCCGGCGCAGCTGTCCCCGCCGCCGCCGCCGCCGCCGCCCGGCCCGGCCGTGGCCGAGGAGCCGCTGCACCGACCGTGAGTCCGGCCCGCTGCAGCTCCCCATCCGGGTGGCCGCCGCGGCCCTGTCCCTGCGCGCCGATGACGGCGACCGCGCAGTCCCCAGCCCGGGAGGGTCACCCGCTCCTTTCTGCGGCCCGATCCCCTCCCCGGCTCGGGTCCCTCGCTCGGGTGTCCCCTGTCCTTCCGCGGGGAGTCGGGGTGTCGTCCTAGGCCTGGCTGGAATGCGCCGCGGCCCCAGTCCTCTCGCCCTTCCCGGCGTGCGGAGAGTTAGGAAGCGAACTGGTTTCTCTTCGCGAGAATCCGGGGGGACGGGAGTTGCGCGAAACTGTGTCGAAGGGAGCTTTGGAGGGGCTGCTCTGCCGACCCGAGAGCCGGGAGCGCCGCGGGGCGCAGGACCCCTCGAGAGCCGCGGGGGTGGAGCGGGAGAGATGCGGGACAGTGGATGACGTCATGCTTTAGGAGGTCTCGGCGAGAGGGGGCAGCGAGGACGCGTCGGATGGGATTCCTTTTCCAAGTGGCACTTGAGGCGCCTCCTGCACTCGGCGTTTTGTTGAGTTGGGGATCGCAGAGCAGTAGCAAGAGTTTAAGCCTCACCTGGGACACCCACGTTGCTAAGCTCGAATCGGTCTGCCCTTTGGATGAAGGCATTCGCTGCCAAATAAATGGTTAGCTACCGAGGTGGTGACTGTTAATAAGGTGGACATATGTGGCTGAAGTTACTGCCTGTTTTCTGTTGGAAATAAAACGGAGGCATTGTGGAGGGAGCGGTTGATTACCCAGGGGAGGAGTGAGTTGATTACCCTACTGTGTTGCAGTAGGTTTGCTAGAACACGGGACACCCCTAGACTCGTGGACATTTCAGGTTGCCAGTTTGCATCGTTGTTTACATTTTGGTACTCTTTGAGAGCTTTGGAAGCCAGGGGTCTGTGTGGATTGTGCTTACTGAGAACGTCGGGAACAGAAAAAGAGACACCATGGCCAGCAGTGGTCTAACAGAAACTGGAGACTCTTCCTGGAAGGCTGTGTGCTTCTCTGCAGTTCAGGCCTTTCTCTCACCTCTGGGCATTTTATTTTTGACCTGGATTTGTACGGTTAATAAAGAGAGCTTTCAGAAAGCAAACCCTTAAAGAATTTCACTGTATTAAGACCCATTCATTTTCAATAATGATTCTTGTTCTTTATGTTTCTGATAGGCTCCTTGTCTTGTCCTGAAAGTCTAACTAGAAAATAAGGATTTGCAGAGTAATGTTGGCTCATTTGATAGAATAAAAGTCGGGAATAGATTTGTCTTCTAGATGGTGAAAAACTTGTTTGGAGAATTAGAGGAATTAAAGAAAACAGTTTGACTCATCAAATAATTTCTAATCATCCCAGTCTTACTGTAGAACCTCTCTAGGTAGTGGGAGTTGTGGAAGTTCACACATTGCATGTAACTTTGTAAACACTAAGTAGGGCTCTGGATGGGAAGGAAGGAAGACCTGATTGTTGCTGGGTTGCTTCAGACACTAATTTATTATTTTTGCATAAATATAATACATTAAATAATAGAATTCCAGAATTAGAAAGGGTAATAATGAAAATGACATAGTACATAACTGTCCCCAGGAGCAAGTGTCATACTTCCTTATATATCCTTCAAGATACAATCTGTACATATAGTAAGATTTTTAATTATTTAAAAACAAAAGTAATGGGTGAATTTAAGTAGTGGGTGGATTTAACTGTGATGCATTCATTATAAGCACTTTTGTAAATTGTTGTACCCCTAGTACAACAACATAAAATAAAATAAAATAAAATAAAAGCAGTTTAGACTTGTAACTTTTGAAGGTTCTTAGAATGCTCTGAAATTAATTGCATTAGGCTTAATTATTTTAAATAAAGTGCATCTATCTCATTTTTGTGTACTTTACTGTTGAGAAAGCAGGTGTTCATTAATCACAGATATCAAACTCAGTTTATAAGTTTAGATCTTGGTATTTTGTTCCATGTTTCAGCTGAAAAGCCCTCTTCCTAAGGCAACACTGACCAAAACAGTTTAGAAAGTGTTTATTCTGTTTTTATGGCTCTTGTTCTGTTGCATGGAACTGTAGTGTCACAGCTAGGCATAGGCTTCAGTTGAAATAGCTGAGTGCCTGCCCTCTGCTCAGTATATAGGGTGCAGGAGTTCTGTATGGGACTGGCTATGGTCTCAGCAAGTCTGGCATGCTTTGGAGGGCCTAGTAGTCATTAAGAAGCAATTGACATTTGCCTTTGAAACTTTTTCATTCTTCAGAGTCTTCAGTTTTTTCTGACTGTAGTACTCATACATCAGTAAATATTTACTGACCATCTCCTGTGTGCCTGGCACTAGGCTAGGTATAAGGCTCAGCAGGGAACAAAACTATGCCCCATGAAGCTTTCCTTTTAGGAGGGGATGTAGATAGTAAAGATAGGTAAGTAAGCATTTTAATAATAAATAAAGAGGAGCAGCAAAGCAGGGACGGGAACTAGGACATGCCAGACATATAAAAGTATTGACATTTCAGACAGGATGTTCAGGGAATGTCCACTGAGGTGATGGCTTTTTTTGTTTTTTGGTGGGACTGGATTTTGAACTCAAGGCTTCAGGCTTGCAAAGCAAGCGCTCTACCACTTGAACAACATCCCAGTCCATTTGCTCTTGTTTTGGAGATGGGGGTATTGAGACTGGCCTCAAACCTCGATCCTCTGGATTTCAGCCTCCCAAGTAGGTAGAATTATAGGCTTGAGCCACTGGTGTCTGGTGAGATGATGATGGCTTTTGAATAAAGACCTGAAGAGAGTCAAGAACCTATTGTGAAGATGTATGGAATAGGGGTGTTCCATATATCCTGCAGGGAGAACCGGTGGAAAGCCTCCCTACTTTTGGAATAGCAAGGTCTTTTTTGCTGGGCGAATTGAGTGAGGGGGAAATTTGTAGTAGGAAAAGTAAGAGGTATACAGAGTGCCATACTGATGATCACTGCTTTCCTTATAGGTGGAATAGACCTTGGCATTTATTTGAATGAGAAGTCATTGGAGGGTTAGAACAGAGCAGTGGTAGTGTCTGCTGTAATCCCAGCTTTTAATGAATGTTGGCTGACAATGGAGTGAAGGAGAACAGAGGTGAAGGAACCCAGGCTGAAGCAGGAAACCAGCTGGAGCTGTTGCAGCGATCCATCCAGTGAGAGGTGGTGGTGGACCCTGTAGGATGTGGGCAGAGGTCGGGGGAGAAAAGACAAAATGAGTGAGAGGAAGTTGAGCAATGAGCTCAGGGACCCTGGCTTTCTCTTACATTTAGTTTGTAAGCCTTTGTCCTCCCTCCTGTCCATTTTTTAGTTATTTGTAATTTTCTTGTTGATTTGCACCAGTTCTTTATATATTCTGAATACGAGACCCTTCCCAGATATCTTTTTATGAGATTTATAAAACCTTTTTGTGGATTGTCCTTTCACTTTTTTTTTTGCTTGTTGCTGGGGTGAAGTTAGAGCCTCATGCTTATTAAATAGATGGCTTTGTCACTTGAGCCAGGTCCTTTTTGCTTTTTTTTTTGGTGGTACTGGGGTTTGAACTTGGCCTCATGCTTGCTAGGCAGATGCTCTACCTCTTGAGCCATTCCTCCAACCCTATTTTGTGTTGGGTTTTTTTGAGGTTGAGTCTCAGGAACTATTTGCCTGGGCTGGCTTCAAACCATGATCCTCTTGATCTCTGCCTCCTGAGTAGCTAGGAATACAGGTGTGAATTACTGGTACCCAGTTTTTTTTTTTTTTTGTTTTCCCTCACAGATAGAGCGTTGCACTAACTTTTGCAGGCTGGCCTCAGACCACAATTCTCTTACTTCCACTTCTCGAGTAGTTCAGACCACAAGTGTCCATCACCACACCTGGCTTGCTTTTGTGAAATAGGTTCTTGCTAACTTTTTGCCTGGGCCAGCCTTTGAGCATGATGTTCTCATCTCTGCCTTCCAAGCAGCTGGGATTATAGGTGGGCACCACCATTCCAGGCTCTCTTTTCACTTTGGTAGTGTCTTTTGAAAAACAGAAGTTTTAAATTTTGATGAGTTCCAGCTCATCATCTTGTTTTTAGTCACTGTGCTTTGGATGTCTTATCTAAGAAAGCACAGCCTAATTGACACTACAGAGACCTACTCCTCTGTTTTCTTCCAAGAACTTTAACGTCTTAGCTCTTACATTTAGGGCTGATCATTTTGAATTAACTTTTGTATATGGTTAAGGTAGATGTCCAACTTTTTCCCTTTGCATTTGGATATCCAACAGTATTTGTTGAAGAGAATAGTCTTACTCCATGGAATTGTGGCACCCTTGTTGAAAACTAATTGTCTATTAATGTATAGATTTATTTTTGGACTTCCAATTCTGTTCACTTATCTATATGTCTGTCCTATGCCAGTACCATACAGTCTTGATTACTGAAGTTTGTATTTCCGTATCAATTGTAGGATCAGGTTGTCAGTTTCTACGAAGAAGCCAGCTGAGATTCTAACTGGGATTGCATTGAATCTGTAGATCAGTCTGAGGAGCGACAGCGTTTTAAGTCTTCCAGTCCACCAGCATTGGAAGCTTTTTACGTAAATGGTCAGATGGTAAATGCTTCTGGCTTTGTGGGCATAATGTCTCTGTTGTAGCCACTCAGCTCTGCCATTGCAGCATGAAAGCCACCATAGACAACATATAAGTGAGTAAGTGTGCATGAAATTTGAATTTCATGTAATTTTCATGTCATGAAACAGTCTTTGGTTTTTTTTTTTTGATAACCACTTAAAAATGTAAAACATTTCTTCACTTGTGGACTAACTAAAAACAGGTAGGCTGCAGTTTACCCACCCATGTAGAAAATTATGATAGGATTGCTTTTGGGAAGCATATCTTTTTTGGCTCCTTTTTATTAACTAGTTGAAAAAATTATTAAAGTTACATGTTTACATAGTAAAAACATCTTCAAGCAATGCAGCAGCTGAAAACAGTTCTTCTCCCGGTCTGTCTTTCTAGTCTCACTTCATAAAAGTAATCATTTCTGTGTCATCTTCCCAGATTTTTAAATGTATAGTCAGCATTTAAATCCTTTTTGTTTGCATGATTGAGATTACACTATATTTTTTACTTAACAGTGTGGCATAGACATTGTTTCATAGCAGTACATATAATTTTTACCAACTGGTATATAATACTGTAGAATTTCGTTTTCTTTTCTTCTTTTTTTTTTTTCTGGTAATACTAGGTTTTGAACTCAGGACCTTGTACTTGCTAGGCGGGAGCTCTAACACTCAAGCCATGCCCTCCAGACCTTTTTGCTTTAGTTATTTTTCAAGTAGAGTATCACATTTATGCCCTAGCCTGCCCAGACCTCAGTTGTCCTATTTACACCTCCTAAGTAGCTGGGATTGCAGGTGTGATCTACCACACCTGGTGAATTTCTTTTTTAAAAGATGACTTTTGGGGGTTTATAGGCAAAGGTCTCATATTGTCCTGTTGTTGGAATGTGTTAATGGTGTATTCTTTCCACCTTAACAGATCTTAACTCCATCCCCTGTGTCCCCTCCAAGTGAGCCAGCCACTTCCCTTTTGAGTGGGCCAATCTTCAGAAATTTAGTCTTAGACAACGTGAAGGAAAAATAAAAATACCTCGTATGGTACTGTTTAATGTTGTGTTAACTTGGATCTGCTCAGGTGCATGTGTATATGCTAGAGACAAGATAGGTCTTAAGATCAGTAATTTGTAGTCTCTTGGGAGCTTTTAAGAAGTACAGCATTTCTGTTTGACCTTAATTAAACCTACAGAATCAGAGCTTGCATTTTAACAGATTTGGCCCGTGATTTATACACACATTAGAGTAGTAGCAACCCCTGTGACTGCTCAGGCCTTCCCTTTGTTATTGCTAAAAATACCATAAGCATTTAGAGGGGAGGAGCTATGGTGCTTGTATATGTCTTATAGTAGCTGAGTTGTTTAACTTACCTTTCCAATGGCCAACTAGCATTTATGTAGCTGTGAAGTGAGCTGAGGTGGGTGTGTTAGAGAGCTGTTGCCTGCTGACACCAGAGACCTAAGTGGGGTCTGGACTAGGTACCTGGAAGGATCTCTTTCACCCAGTGCCTAAGATGCACTAGCACTGTTCTGGGCCCTGGGGTTCCAGCAGTGCACGAGATAAACATTATGGAGAGGAACAGCAGAGTGAGGGGAGAGGTGCCATGCGTTTTATTTAGGGTGTGAAGGAAAGCCACATTTAAACAGGCAGAGGTGCAAGCTCTGGGGAAGAAGGTCCAAGTAGGAGGACCAGAAGATAGGGTTGCTGTCCATATTTGAGGGCTAGGAAGATAGCCAGTGGCTGAAACAGGAGAAAAGATTAGGGACAAAGACTGGTCATATATGGGCCTTGTGTACCAATGCAAGCTTGTGTGGAAAAACAGTGATTTAATTTATGTTTTTAAAAGAGCATTTTGATATGAAAGAGGGGGGAAGCGGGAGAGGGGGAGTGGGAATGCAATGGAGGAAGTGAACTTGTTTAAGGTACACTGTACACATGGAATTATCATAATGAAATCCCCTCATATTACTTATGTATAAATCAAAAATAAAAAAAATTGAAAAGATCATTTTGATAACACCAGAAACAGTGAGGATGCAGAGAAGTTGGTCACTTCATCATTGCTGGTGGGAATGTAAGACAATTGTCTTTTTTTTTTTTTTTTTTTTTGCAGTGCAGGGTGTTGAACTCAGGCGTCACTTGCTAGGCAGGCACTCTACTGCTTGAGCCACTCTTGTCAGCCCAGTGTGGCCTCTGTGGAAAACAGTCTGGCAGGTTCTGTAAAACCAAACGTGCTTTTACTGTATGACACAGAGATTGTACTCCTGGGCGTTAATCATGGAGAAATGAAAACTTAAATTCACACAAACACCTGTACAAAATCTTTTTTTTTTTTTTTTAACTTTTCTTTTTGTACACACATCTTCATAGTGATTTGAGTTGTGATACTCTGCAAACTGGAATCAGCTTAGCTGTCCTTCAGCAGGTGAATGCTTACACTATTCCACAATAAAAAAGGAATTCAACTACTGATGCCTGCAACAGTTTGGATGAATCTGAAGGAATTATGCTAGTACAAAAAGCCAGTCCTAAAAGCTTATGTATTGTATGATTCTATTTATATAACATTAAAAAAAGATGCAGTTTTAGGAATGGTGAATAAATTAGTGGTTGCCAGGGGTTAGGGACATGGTAGTAGCAGTTCTTATAATGTTTAATGTGTCAGATTACACATTTTTGCCATGTTACATATAATGTGGATTCAGAAAAATGGAATAAAATCAATATTTTGGTAGCAAGTAGATGGTTTGTTTCTCACACACAACAGGTACTTGTTTCAATTTTAAGTAAGACTAGCAACCACTGGAGAGTACTACCAGCAAAATTTTATGTTACAGGACTTTTGAGCTTGGGAAAGTTAATCTTTTAACTTTAGGGTTTGAATTGCTGAAAAATAATTCTGGATGAGGAAAGAATGAAAACTTGAAACATCTTAGCAGATTGTGATTTTGATAGTCAAATTTTGGTAGTGAGAGTCAGTACAGGTTTGAAATAAGATCAGGAAACCATTCTTTCACTTTTAGGGATTCCCAGCCCAAAGAATTTGAGTTCAGGGACTTTTGGGACTGCTCCATAGTTTTTTTTTTTTTTTTTTTTTTGTAAAGCTTTACCATTGGTCTCTTGGTTTTTGAAACTCAGGTTTAAAGTAAGAAGTCTTTATCATTTATCTTCCTGGGTCCTGTAGAACTGATGCAAGAACTCTGGTGTCAACTCTGATGTTTCTTTAACCTGTTCTGCAGAAGGCATTTATTTACCTATTCCTTGCTGGGCTCTTTGTGGAGCCCTGTTGTATGGTATAGACGCTGTGCTGAGTGCTAATGATGCAGACATGATGTGGTTCTTGCTCTCTGTGCTCTGTGTGCCTGTCATCCCAGGGACATAATCCAGGAAAGCACTTCCCAAGGAGGTGCTGGCAGGGTCTGGAGAGAAAGGACCGTGGTGACTAAGAAGGCTTAGTCAGAAGCCAGACAGAAACAGCAGAATAATGAATGTTTATTTGTTGGTGAGATTGATTTTTTGTCTTTATTAGTCATAGTTTGCTTTGACTAAGTTTTGTGAATTAAGAGCAAGGGCAGGTCTTGAGAAACAGGGCCAGTTGCTTATTGCTAACTATAATTTTTGGTTTATCTTCTATATGAGGAGAGAGACAAAACTTTTTCACACTAATATTTGTATCACTTCTAAGATGATGAGTTAGCTAAGTGTTCCATGGGCCCAGCCAGTTAGTTCTTCATCAGGCATATGGGTAATTAGTGTGAAGCTGATGATTTTTAAAAAATTCGTTTTTGGCACCCCTCCCCCCATGTCTTTACTGAGTGATTTGCACATTGGAGCCCCACACATTAATTTTTAACCACAGAGATAATTGGCATATTGACATGCTACTTCTATTAATGCATGCCTCATAAACTCCTGAGGCAGTCTAAAAGGACCTTGGAAACTACCTCATTTAGAAAAAGTCTCCTTCTCTGGTCATTTAACATGGCAGACTTTGTTTTTGAAGGTAGATGAGGCCTGCTGCCTCTGGGCAGCCACACCCCATTGATGAAGGTGGGCTCATCAAAAGATACATGCTTACCATGTGGCTTGTCTTAGCTGAGTCCCTTCAGCTGCAGTTGGAAAAGTCAGCCCTGGAGCAGAGAGACTTGCTGTGAATCATACTTCTCAGCCCGCTACTTTTCAGGCCTGAGAGCAAAGACTTCGCCATCATAAAGGTTCTGCTTGGATTTGATATTGCTGAAAAATCTCAAATGATTACTTTACTGTACTGACTGTCATTCAACTGTAAGGTCCACTGTGTTTAGTGTTTGTGTTTCATTATCACCCTGCTAAGGAGCACTTTTTTAAGACACTAGTGAAGTAGACTGCAACATCGAGGCACTTGTGAGTTCAGTTCACTTAAGGACTTTGACAGATTCCACTTTGGAAATCAAAGTCATGGTCAGGTGACTTAGCTTGCTTCCTAAAATATTTAGGATGGTTGGTATTCTCTAATTCTCTTGATGACTGTACCAAAGTAGGTAAGTTCTGAGTGCTGTAGCAGAGCCTTTAATACAGTAGTTTAAAGAAGAGTGCCTTTTTGTTTTCATAGCATTTTTTTCCTTCTAAATTGTAGTAAATGGGTTCTTTTTAATGTAGAGTTCTGTGAGTTTTGACAAAGGCTTAAAGCCATGTGACTACTACCATAATCAGGATTTAGAGCAGTTCTGTCACTCCCTCTTCTCAAAACAGAAAGGCTCCCTGGGTCTCTTTGCTATCAACTTCCTGTCCTGGAAATGACTGACCAGTTTTCCATTCCTGTAGTGTTGTTTGTTCCAGAACGTTCTAAAAGTGGAGTCACTCAGTGTTGGAGTCTTAATTTATTTTCCCAGACATAGTGCAATGCTATTTGTTCTTGTTTCCTGTCAATAATTGGTTCCTTTTTATGGCCAGGTAGTTTTTTGTCTAGCCTGTAGCATTTTGTTCATCTTTCACCAGGTGAAGGACGTTTGGGTCATTTCCATCATGGCACTGTTGACGTGAGTGGCTCAGAGAACGGGAGTTCTGGGGTGCCTGTGCTCCTGATGATCAGTTAGGAACCCCAGATCCTTCTATCTTTTTGCTCTGCACCTTTCTGTTGAATTTATCTATGTAATCAAAAGCTGGGTGTTAGGCATGTTTCTTCTGATTAGAAGCAGATAAAAGGGGAGATACCCAGGGAAAGCAAGTTAGACAGGACTTCCATACATCATCTGTGTTTCCATTATATCGGTGGGACTAAATCATGTAACTTTTGCTAGGTGTAAGGAGGCTGGGCGGGGTAAGTTCTAGCTGGAGAGTCACGTGTCTAAGAAGGGAAGAATGTACTTTGGTGGGTAATCAAAAGTCGTCAGTATAACTTGTCAATAAAAGTCTCTTAGGAAAGAGCCGAATGGAAAACGCACACTTAACTGGCCTATAATAATGCCAGACTCTTTTCTGGCAGTAACATTTAGGCCCTAGGCTATGGTTCTTTTCTCTGCTGAGAACCCTGTCCAGTCCTCTGCCCCTGACTTCACCGTTTGGAGGTTCTCCCTTGTCTGCTTGTTTGTATTCCTCCATGGCCACAACTGAGGTGCCTTTTGGAGAGTAAACTCTCAGTGGCTTTGTAAATTTTTTTTTTTTTTTTTGCTTTGTATAGTCTTAATAGCCTGTACCTTCATATGTACTTTTTGGAGTCAGAGGATTACATTAGGAATTAAATAGTCCCAGGTATTTGCAAGTTAGGTTTTTAATTTCATTGAAATTAGAATTCATCCCCAAACTTAGCGTCTTTTAGTGCCATGATTTGAATCTCCCCTCTCTACCCTATTTTGATAGTGTCAACTTTGTGGACATCTGAAGTTGTAGGTTGGATGGGAAGTCTGATTTCTTGACTAGGCTTTCATCTTCTTTTGCCTATTGCATGTTTTAGTAGGAGGCTTATTTCCAGCAGTTTGGAGAAGTGATTAGCCACTGTATTGAGGTCTACATGGTAGTCAGGTAACAGTGTCATTTTTGAGAAACAAAGGCAGATTGGTATACACAGTAGATACCATATTACTGTGCTGCATTGAGTATTATGTTCTTCCATTGTAATGTATGCCATTGTCTTCTGTACTGCTAAGAAAGAAAGTTGCTAATTAAACTAGACATGCCATTTCTTGTAAGATGCTTTCCAGGTTCAGTGGAAAAACGTGACATGGTAAGGTACAGGTACGTTTAAAGTCAGAAACTCACTTCTAGCTCTGTTACTTCTGTCTGTGTGATATTGGGCAAGTCACTGTTAGCATATCAATTCTCCTTCTTTCTAAAATGGGAGAAATAAGATGTTTTTGTGGCATCACCTTATTTTTCTGTGGCGTGTCATGGTTAGGAAGCTCTTGGTTGAGCACATCTCTGCCTCTCTGTCCTGATCCCTACCATGTCATCTTCATGGAGTATAATTGTTCATTAATAGTGGTTGAGTACTAAATGAATGAAATGAGGTGTAGAAATAATTAAATGAAGTGGATAATTCAATACATCTTTATTTCCATTCCTTTTTTTTCATTTTTAGAAAGAAGGAACTCTCAGCCACCAAGAAAGATCGCGTGAATCATTGTCTGACAATATGTGAAAACATAGTGGCACAGTCTCTCAGGTAATTGTACTTCTAACTTTCTAGAGGGAAATAAAAACTGCATATGTTACATTTTAATGAGGTGGACTTTTCTTTGTGTCCTCAGTTGTCTTTAAGAAATCCATTTAAGCTGAGTGTGGCGTTGCACATCTGTAATCCCAGCACTCAGAGACTGAGGCAGGAGGATCTTGAGTTTGAGGCCAGCCTGGCAACACAGTTTTAAGAAGGAAGAAAGAAAGAGATCCATTTAAAATAAAGATTGTTTCTCATATTTCTGGCTATGTATTAAGGACTTCCAGACACTATCATGAGTAATGTTTCCTTTTTGTAGTCTTATATACCAGAATTGTAGCCATTATGATAATTGAATGACATGTTTATATTTAATTAGCACTCTCAATAACTATTTAAAACTCGTCTTTGGTTTGATATTTTTATATTTACTGCAATAATTGGAACAACCCGAGACTGTCCAGTTTATCGTCTCTCAGAGATTTGCTTGTCCCTGGCAGCTTGCCACTGTGTATCGTCCTGTGGTTCTGCCTTTGACCCCAACATGGCTAGCACTGGCTCAACTGTGCTTGGGGATCAGTGGGTCACAGGCAGTTGCTGGCCCATTGGCTTCCCTTGCTGAGCTATCTTACTGGGTGAACGAGTCCCATCTTCTTTTGTAGCGTCTTTGCTGTGTTAATCAGACTTTTTATTGCTATGACAAAATACTTAACACAAACAACTCCAGAGAGGAGAGATTAATTTTGGCTTACAGTTTCAGAAGTTTCAGTGGATCATAGTGGAAGGAGTGAGTGGTGGAGCAGAACAGCTTCCATCATGGCAGCCAGAGAGGAAGGGAGGGAAGGAGGGAGAGAATATGTGCTACCTGGCTTCCTCCTCGTTCACATTCAGGGTGGGTCTTCCCCATTTAGTTAATGCTCTTTAGAAAGACTCACAGACACACCCAGAGTTGTGCTTTACTAATCTAAGCACTTCTCAATTCAGCCGACTTGACAGTCACGGTTAATCATCACATCTACTAACTCTGCTCATTGTCACTGCATTGCAGTCTTTCTGACATTGTTCCTACAGCTGTAGATGGTAAATATTTTTAGGCTTAGTAGGAGGCATGCATACCTGTGATTTTTCAATTCCATTACCTAGGTGGGCATGTGTGAAAACTCCCTTTGTTTTTGTTTCCCTTAATTCATGTTATTCTCCTGCTGCAAAAGAATCCTGAAATTTGTGGTAATTTACCTTTTTTTTTAAATTGCTCCTTAGCTATTGCTTTTTACTTTTTAATTTTTTAAGTTGTGTTAAAGTATACACAATGTAAGGTACGCCATATATTAACCATTTTCAAGTACAGTTCAGTGCATTCATGTCATACAACAGTTGCCACTATCTGTCCGTCTCCATATCTCTTTTCATCTTGTGAAACTGAAACTCTGTACCCATTAAATAGTAGCTCCTCATCTGCCATCTCCCCAGCCCTGGCATTCAGCATTCTGCTTTCTTTCTCTGAGTTTTGAGTTCTCTAGGGACCTCACGTAAGTGGAATCACTCAGTGTTTATCTTTTTGGCGATTGACTTCTTTTTAATGCTGCCTTTCAAAGTGATTTCACATACAGTTCATACTAGTTTAACTCATTCCATCATGTGTGAAATATGATTCTATTTCTGTGTAATTTGTAAAAATGTGAGAAGAAAATGAAGTCACAAATGAGAATTTGTACGTAAGTATAAATATTTTAAGTTAGCATGCTGTTGTAGAAAACAACACTGATAAAAGTAGTGGAGAATGGTTTAATTCCATTTCTACCTCCTATATAAGCTAGGAAGTTTTAGTGTCTTTGAATCACTGTTTGCTCATTTGTGAATTATCTGCCCCACTCACAGAGTTCTTGTGGGATCAGATAGTACATGTGGCGTGCTGACGGACTAACCACATGGAGGTGTTCACTACTGCCTACGAGCAGGAGGTACATCTCACTATGACGCACATTGTCCAGAGCCATAAGTTACATACTTGGCAAGTGTTTGGTTCTGTGCTTTATTCAAGGGATCTCTGCCTCCCTGGTTCCAAAAAAAATCGTTTGCCTTTGAAAGCTGCTGACCCAGAAAACATGATGTCTTCGAATCTGAGTGCTTCAAATTTTATGATTGTCATTTTGTTTTTTGAGAATTCTCTGTAGAGTTCATGGAATGTTGGCTTAGAGCCACTGTCAGTAAAGTATGTTGAGATGTCTTAAGATTGATACATGGTTCTGTTTGCCATCTTGAATCAAAATAATACCTGTTAATAGTTTGTCTGTTCTGCTTCTGTGGAGTAATAACAAGAGCTCATTGTACTTTTCCTTCTACAGTGGAGCTTTTTAACAGTGTATTTTATGGAGCTATAGTTATCGTGGTCCTTGGATTTATAAGTTAAAGAACTAGTTTGTTTAGAATACTCTTCATAGTTTGCAGGGATTT